TATGGAGCAGGAGAAATATCTGCCCGAGCTGATGGCAGAGAAAGACAGCCTGGATCCGTCCTTTGTTCACGCCATGCGCCTCCTGGCTGAAGGTAAGCCCGGCCAAGCCTCTGCCCGCCCCGGTGGCATCCGGGCAGCCCTGCCCTTGGCTTCCCTGGAGGGAGAGAGCCTGGCAGAGGTGGCAGCGGGGGGGACTGGTGGCATCACCAGCAGGAGCGGGTGCCGCCAAGTGCAGTGTCCCCACGCAGCCCCACTTCGCAAGTGGGCAAAGGTGTTTGCGGGCTTCTTGTTACTGTCATTACTGTCATCGTCATCATCACGAGGAGAGCAGAAAAGCACTGGAACAGGCGACCAAGAGAGGTGGTGGAGTCTCCATCCTTAAGACCAGGCTAGACAAAGCCTTGGCTGGGATGATCTAGTAGGGGACGGTTCTGCTTTGAGCAGGGGGTTGGACTAGATGCCCTCCTGAAGGTTCCTCATTCTCTATGATTCGGTTCCCCCTCCTTTAAGTGAATCCACCTCAGCCCCTCGCCCATCAGTGTCCCTGTGGATGCAAGCTGTAGCCTGGATTTCCACTGCATTTCTCAAGCACAGGGGTACCAGCGAGTCACTCACCGCTGTCTGTAGAGATACTGAAACGGGGGTAGGGAGGCAGCTAGATGCATATTTTTAACCCTGGATGAGGACACGCTGTGGACGATGTCATGCTCTCTCTAGTAGAAGCTCCACTTGCCAATGACGAGCAAGCCATTGCTTTTGCGAAGTACAAGCTACATTTTGTCTGCCTGTCCTAGGAAAGTAGAGAGCATTCATTATAAAGATAGCATTCCTCTCTTACTCACTGATACTTTCTGAAGCTTGCTTACAAATAGGTTCTGCTGGCAGAGTACTGAGGATCTTATTTATAGAACCAAACATCCAGCTAAAAAGCTAGATCTATTATTTTTTTTTATATATATATATATATATTTTTTTTTTTAATTTGTATTATGGAAAGTGGTTGTCTTCATGGCTTTTTCATTAAGGGCAAATTGTTTCGTTGAATAAATGAGCCGTTACAGTGGGGTAGGTTCTGGGGGTAGGGCTTCCATGGCCCCTGG